AAAGCAAGATCGATCGATAATGTCCGAAAATAATCGAATTAAGTAAACGAATGGACCGTTTTATTAAAAAATTGTTAATATTGTTAAAAGTATTATGAAAATGTATAACCAGCGGTTTAAATAAATTATGAATAACTTTGAATGACATTTGGAATTGTTATAGAAACAGTGTAACAGATTTAATGATTAATGTATAAATAAAGCGTTAGAAATAATCTTTAACGTCAATGTTCAAACGATTGAGATACTCGAAAGTTTGATTAAAATTTCGATATCATTGTTATATACAGCCTGCGGTATTAGTTTTCGAGTCATAATCGTGTCAACACTGCAACCAAATGTCGACTTGCGGTCGAAAATAATATTATTATCGTCCATTTAACGTCCAGTTGGGACCACTGCGTGAAATTTTCTGTTCGCCAAGAAAAAGAAAAAAAAGAAAAAGGTTTCCTTTCGTCAAAGTTCCTCTAGCAATTCGTAGAAAATGGTACCGAGTTCAATTGGAAATTCAACTAATCGATGACGATTTATCCAATTCCCCAGAGAGCCGAACTGCAAGCTGAGATCGCTGAACGTGTCCAAGTGTTTGCTAGGCGGATTAGACGCCGGCTGCCTTGGCGAGACTATTAGAAGGGCGCGTAATTTGGATGCTTTAAGGGCTGCGGGCGCGTCAAGGCCGGCGGACGTGATGCCGTTGGTTCTCGCATTGACAGAGGCACCGTGTCTTCAGCTTCTGGATCTGGCCAGTCCACGTCTAGCCCTCGACGATCATCCTTCCAGGCTGCTCTGTCACGCACTCGCCAGGAACACCACTCTTAAGCTACTCAGTCTCGAGGGATGGACTTTTAGAATAGAGGTGAGTTAATAAATATCATCAGTCCGATGAAATCAAATTTTTTCACGACAACGATCGAGCTCCATTACAGCCGCTAACAAAGTCACGAAAATGTCTCGCGCATAACGTAGGTAACACGCGCGAAAGATATCTGTTCGAAAGATTTCCTCAAGTCTATGTACTGCGACTCGACAAAGGAGTGGAAAGAGTTAATTAAATTAATTAATTCGTAAACGACGTAAAGAGAAGCGAGTGAAACGATTCCCCTGAAAAAAACCTGCCACATTTTTTCAGCCGGATAATCTGCCCGCAAGGGAGTAAATTGGCAAGAAGGCGATAATTCGAGGGCGAAGAACAGTGGCTGCTGATTTGTATTCGTCGAGCAACCGTACACGAAGGGGGGGAGAAAGCCATAAAAGTCCAAGAGAGGAAAAATAAAAGGGCGGGCGGGGGGCGTCGAGTAAGAATCGTTCGAGCGGCAGGCTTGCCGTTTCCCGGTTGGTGGCTCGCAATTCCGAAAGTGCTGCTGGCTGGTAATATCCCTGGTGCTGCTGCTCCGCAGCTGGCCGTAGCTATGCAGCAGAAAGTTGCATAACGGTCCCGACGAGAGAGAGAGAGAGAGAGAGAGAGAGAACGAGCAGAATTCTAACTAGCCGTTTCGATAACAGCGTCTGAAAAGTTCGCGTAAGCGCGGCGCCGCTCGAATCTTCTTCAATTCTTTTATTCCCGCCGATTACCGCTTTGATAACGCGAAACAGAAACACCGAAAGCCGCTTAGCTGCGTTAAACTGGCAGACGGATGGCGAAAAATTCGGCTTCCCGCGTACCTGCCAACTGAGATGCTTCTGAATCGATACAATTTCACCGGTTTATCGAACGTATGATCTGCTGAGAAGTGTTCGAGACTTGTTCCTCTGAAACTAGAAACTTCTGGCTGTTTTCTGCCCTCAAGAGTTGGATCTTCTTTCTCAAGCTGGTCCTCTCAAGCTTCTCTTTAAAAGAATAAATTAAACGGAGGAAAAGAAAGAAGAAGGAACGATCACGCGATGAATGCCGAACGAACGGACGCAAAGTTCTCCGGTTACGTCTTCGAGGTTTCGAACGAAGTTACGAACACAGCGGGATCCATAAAGGAAACTGATGAGGTGTCCAGGGTCTACTAACAGTAGTAAAAAGAATCACTCGAGAAGTCTGCGGTTTCCATCCGTGGGACCCCGAAGTCACGGGGATTTCTCTCCGCTCTCGTACCTCGCGTGCTCTTCTTCTTTGGAATTTTTAACGACACCAACGCAAGACGAATCGAGAATCTGGAAATTTCATCGAGTTTCCCCGCCACTTCGATTACTAACCAACTTCGACCGGAAAGCGACCCGTTCCGCAGACAGGAAATTCGACCGTTTTCACGCGACGAGTATTCGCCGATTTCCCCGCCCCGCGCCGCGCCGCCGAACATAACGATTTCCCTCGCAAACCAGCGGAAACGCGCCAACGAGATTGGACGTTCCACGAACGATTACACGCGCGCGGCTCTCCCTAAACGCGTCGCCTAATCAAATTTATGACGTCGAGATTTCGCAACGACCGACTGCCGAGCCGGCGAGTCGAACCATCGGGCGACAGGTGTCCCTGATGCGCGTTATTTTCACACCGCGCTTTGATTAACGCTCGGGAACCACTGGGGACGCGGTAGGCAATTGCACGTCGATTACTGCAATTTCATCGTCCGTTGATCGTTCTTTCGCTGAATAATTCGAAAGCAACCAGCCTGAATACTGATGAAACAACGTTGGGTTGGCCTCGATGGCAATTACTTTCGAACAGCGATGCATTCCACGCAGACGAAGATGTTTTGTTCGAGGTCGCAGTCGATAACAAAGGCGAGTTGAATTAGGTCGTGAAACTTGGTCCTTTTCTCCTTGGTTCGTCTCGCTTTCTGCTTCATAAAACGCTCCATGCGTCTAGTCGGTGTTAAGCGTGTACACGCGTACTTTACGAGTGTACATGACGTAAATACGTCTCTCTCTCTCTCTCTCACTCACTTTCGGTTCCTTCCATTGAACCTTTTAACCTTCTCTCCCGGCGTTCCATCTCCGCGTAAGCCATTGTCGGCGACAAGCCATTGTCTTCGCTGAAGCACGAGCGCTGGCTGAGAAAGGGAGCAAAGACAGCCGAAAAGCGACGGGACGGGGAAAACACGGCCGCGAAGATAATCCTAGCAGGTGGATCGGCGGATTATCCGAAAAGTCGGCAATTAATCGTCGGCGATTAATACTCGGTGGAGTGGAGCGAGTGAAAGAAGATAAAGGACAAGCGACCTGGGCTATTGTTTTGTATTGTCGCGCATTAATTGCAAGGGGAGGAGACCCCCCCACGTGAAAAGTCCGTTCGTTTTGAGAGAGAAAGAGAGAGAGAGAAGTCAGCGACGCGGGAAATTGTTTTGGTCGCAGCAGAAGCGTCACCGTGTCAATTTATAGCGGATCCTGTTTACTCGAAGCTCGACTCGAACTCAGTTAACTAATGTGAACGTACGTGAAGATGGGAATGGCTTACGAGCGTCGTCGCCGTCGTCGAAGTTGCGGGCACGGTGCGTTTCTCTAATTAGCGAGCAGTTACCGTTTCCAAGTACTTCGATCGTCTGAAACCGTCTTCATGAATAATACAACGTGCCCTATTTTATCGCGATCTCGCTGTTGCCGCCGCGTTCGAGGAAACGTTCAACCAGGAGCGCAGCTCCCAATTTCACGGACGTTTAAGATGAAACACGCGTTTTCGACAAATACTCGACGTTCTATTTTTAACGCGGGCTCAAAGACCGAAACGTTCGCCGCGCGATAAAGGATAATATTGACTCTGCGACGAGCCAAACTGTCGGCGTCGACCGACCAAACACCGAGCCGCTCCACTGATTCTGGCGCTTCGCTAACTTTTCCGCTTTAATTGGAAACCCATCGTTATGCAGGATGCGTAACGTAGGGGGGG